GCAATCGCGGCGGCAACTTTGTTGCCCCACACCAGAAGCAGGAAGCGGCACAAATGGTCACAGACCCTGGCCTCTCAGCTTGTCGCGGAATGCCAAATAAAAATTGGTAGGTAAACGGATTACCTGTAGATAAGCTATCACAACGAAAAACAGTCTACAAATATTTGTGGGTGTGTGTGGGAATACAGCATATACATATATAATAATATATAACGCAAAAATTAGATACATATTATGATGTATCTTGGATCGAAACTTTGGCTCGGGATAGATATTTTGTATTGATACTAAATTTAATTATATTCATTTTAGGTATACTTTCTCATCTCATCTCATTCGTAGCATGCGTAAGGTATTATTTTATATATATATAAATATTTTTATATATAACAAGCTGTAAAATATATGAAAAACATCTTTCAAATCAGATGCATCCGTAATAATGGATCTTGAATCGAAACTTAAGCTCGGGGTAGACATTTTGCTTTGAATCGGAATGCCAAGTTTAATTTGATTAATTTTATTATTTTACTTTTAAGTATACTTTCTCATCTAATCTCCTACACCCATTCATAGAATGCTTAAGGTATTTATTTATTCTATTTTGATAGCTGTGTGTTGCCTACTTAAGAGATCACATCACTAAGCGTAAAATCGGTGCGTTTATTTACTTGTATATTTGATGAAACTCTTCACACTGCGTGTCTAATAGATCTGTTTACCTGTAGCACATGCTAATGAGCTTGACCTGGCCAAAAGCAAGCCGTAGACCTTGATAAGCATAGAACATGTTCAATGGGAAACTGAATATGTGATGCATATATCTAACGTGCAACTGCGACTTAATGCGATACACTGTACATCTTCGGGTTACATGTATCTCTCATGTATATATATTCATAAACATGAACTGCAATGAAATTTAGCACCGCATTCGAAGTGCAGCTTAATTTTCGCTCTCGGATAAAGTTTGAAATTCTTTAGGTTTGCTCTTCTTTTGAATATAATGCACTTGTTGCTGAAGTGCAGCGGCTACAACAACAACAACAACGACAACAACAACAGACGCCAGCGGATGCAATTCAATACAAACAAAAAAAATGGTTTTGCGAAAATCCAGAATAAATGCCCAAAAAACATGAAAACAGGTCTTTAAAGCCGACGGTCAAACTGCATCAAGAAAAAGGCGAGCTATATAAGAACATAGCAATGAATATATAAATACAGATATATATATATATATATATATATATATATTTATATATGTTTATATACATATATATATATTGTGTGTGTGTGTGTGTATTATTGGGGCTTGGCAATGCAGTTGCTAAGCTTTTGCCTGCTGCGGTGAATGCATTTTATGCGGTTGCTGTTGTTGTTGTTGTTGTTGCTGCTCCTTGCATTTTTATACCCTTGCTAAGGGCAGTATAATAATGTCATGTTATGTGTAACACAAACCTTAGACATATTCTTGATCAATATCAACATCAAAGGCGATATAGCCAAGTCTAGGCAGGCGTTAGTCGGAATATGCCAGATCTGACTATTTGAGAAATAATCACTTGTTTGAAAAAGTTGTTCGTTTCTTCAGACATATTGACCAAACTTCCATATCTTATAGATTACATCGAAAATATTATTGACTAGTTGCCATGTTGATTTCGTATAAGAAAAATAGTTTTATTTTCAGTCTATCTAGGCCTAGTTCGACAAACTAAAGCTTTAGTAAAATTCTGCGAATTATTTAAATATCTCCTCGCCCTTCATTGTAAATAACTCATCATTGTAAATATCATATAATTTTCATACTTTTAACTATACATTCTTCTCCTATTTATTCGCTTGGTAGAGATCAAAAGGCACTGCTCGATTGTACTCTATCATAATGCTGATATAGGAACTATAATGTTTAGTTTTCTATGCCAATTTACGACCAAGTCTTTGGTAAGGATATTAAAGCTTCGGCTTGCCGTTGATAGTTGTATTTCTTGTTGTTGTCGCTCTTGTCGTTTGCTTTGCTCCTTCAAACCCAATTTTGCTGCTGATGTTGTTGTTATTGTTATTGTTGTTGCTGTTGCTTTGTAAACACTGTGGAATTTCAAGCATTTGCGCGCGCAAAAACTTTTAGTACAGTAAACACTCGAAATTTGTGAAACTACGCAGACTACGCAGCCATATGACGCGGAAAAACTAAATCAATAATAACAGACGAGACAATAACAAAAACAACGTGGAAAGCAGTTCGAATAACTAGCAGCAAACACAACAACAACAACAAAAACAACAGCTAGTATTTAAATTATATAAAAGAAACAAGAAAAATCGTTTAACTTTAGCACGCCGAAGAAAAAATACAGTTTAATGAGAATATCACGAAAAGTAGAAAACTTTACCAAACAAACAAATCTATATTTTGGTCCAGACAGGCGAATTACTATCTATCTATTAGATAAATGATTGAGAAAGACGAACCTATTCAAAGTATCCTGCAATAGCTTCAGATATAAAAAACAAATGCACTTGACCATATTGATTCGGGGTTATTGATCAAGAATATACTCTATGAAACCGTTACACATTTGTCGACAAATATTATAATACCCTCTGCAAGGGTATGAAAAAACCCACTGACTGCGCCAGGTCTAAAAATAACCAAGCTTCTTGCGTCTTGCACGAGGCACGACAGGAATGCAGCTCCAATGCAAGTGCGTGTGCTGCACTTGGACGTGGTCCGCGGCGGCTACGTCTGCCAATCTGTGTGTGTGTGCGATGGTGTGTGTGTGTGTGTATGTGTGTGTGTGCAGACAGCGTCTGGCTGGCCGGGTTAACCTGGAAAGCCACTGGCCAGGCAACCGAGCGGCCAACAGGCCAAGCCGACCGACCGTCATATAAAATGTCGCAACGCATGTTAACGCAATAATTTTTTTTATGCCCTGAACCCATTGCAAACGGGCAGAAAGGGTATGATGGTCATGTGCAAATGTATGTAACAGGCAGAAGCAGGCATCTCCATACTCATTAGGCATATGCTATAGTTGATTAATCAAAATAGGAACTTAGCTCCTATTGTCCGAGTAGTCTAAGTTACGAAATATATATAAGCTGGCCTCAATAATATAATATGACTAACGGGTATACCTCGGCCTTGCCCGTTTTACGTATGAAATTTTGACCGAGAAATGGAAGTTTTGCATGTGTGCATGTGTACATGTGTGCATGCATTTTTGTATGTTTGAATGTATGGATGCATTAATGCATGTATGCATGTAAATATGTATGTATGCATGAATGCATTAATATATATATATGTATGCATTAATGCATGTACAAATGTATATATGCATGTATGTAAGGACGTATGTATGTATGTTATTTGTATGTATCTATATAAGTTTGTATATATGTATGCTTCTATGTATGTATGTACAAATGTATGTTCATATGTATGTGTATATGTACGTATATATGCATATATGTATGATAGAAAAATAGAAAATGAGTTAAGGCCGATCGGATGGTAAACAATAAAGTTTCAGACAAACGCGATTTTCGCGATTTTTCCAGACATTCCGAAACCCCGTCTTCGTGCTCTTACGGTTGTGACTGTGCGTTGATCACCAGTCAGTCAGTCAGGACAAACATTTGTATATACATATAGAGATATAATAGTAGAACCAGAATATTTCACTCCACCACATTATTGGAGGGTTTTTGGGCTTAAAAGGAATTGTTGGAGGGTTTGGGGTTCTATATGTCAAATTAACGTTGTGAAAGATAGAAGCTATCTTGTAGTCGGACACACCCGATTAGAGCACTCTTGTTTTATATTTGTTGCACCGCTGGCCACCACCCACCTCCCACCACGCGTTGCCTGCTGGCTGCTGCCTGCTCCTCGCGCTGGTGAACATGAACCATGACGCAGTAGGTCATTAATTGTTTACGTGGAAATGTACAATGTCTGGCGCGGCACAGGTAAAACGCACAGCTAGTGCGCGCTGAAGAAGGCTAATTTAGGGCTAGGGTTGGCAGCCTGAAGGCAGCAGCACTTTAGCTGGATGCAAAGGCATTGACAATTTGTGGTTTTTGGATTAACAGTGGAGAGGGCAAAGGGTGAGGGGGGGGGGGGGGGGGGGGGGGCGCCTCAAGGACGTTGCCAAGTTGAGCAAATTAGGATGCTTGAGTTAAGCTAACAGCCGCCACATACACAAGTCACACTCCAGTCACGTTTCGCTACGTTTGCGCCTACTCAATGCAATTGTTGCATGTCTGGCCGGCCGGCTGTCTGTCTGTCTGTCAGTCTGTGCGGCCCGTCTGCATATGTTGGCTTGAGCACGTCCTTAATGTCATGACGATGACGGCAGCAGCCAAAATAAAACAAATGCCAAACTAGCGCGCCAAACAAACTGCAAGTCACAGGCAGAAACAGGCAGAGCCAGGCAGGCTGAAAAACAGACAAACAGCCAGAGAGACAGACAGACAGATGGACAGACGGGCCGCAGCTGAAGACAAACGCGACTGCATTATGCAGCAAACCTACCTAAAGCTCGCGCACCTGCCTCTGCAACGGCCGCAGTGGCAGCAACATTGCAGACAACGACAGCGATGACAGGGCAGCAGCAGCAACAACAACAACAACAGCCACAGCAGCAACAGGTTCTTTATTTTTAGTAGTCGCATTTTGAAAACCGCCTGCTCAATGTCAACTCAACGTTTGAGACTTAATTGTTGCCTCTTTGCAGTATTTTTTTAACAAAACATTCTTTGTGCCTGACTGGCGGCTGTTGTTGTTGTTGCTATTGCTGCTGTTGCTGTTGCTGCCGTTGTGGTTGCATCATGTGGCTTGTAGCATGTGCTTCATTGAAGTGCTTACATTCGAGGCTGCTAACAATGATTCTTCTAAAATACTTAACTTGCGCAGCATATATTTGTGCGTTATTTAATTGAAAAATTTGTTCGTTTTTTTATATTTGCAGCATTCATCAATTGTTGTCGCGCTTGTTGCTGTTGTTGCTTGCCTTGTCATGCAGCAGCATCAAACAAACAGTCAGAACAATTTGACATTTCTAAAATCAAATTACAAATACAAGCGCAGAAACATGCTGGCAATGCGCGCACTTCCGTTCGCAGCGCGTAAGCCAAACCAATTAGCGGCAACATTGTCAAAGACGTCAGCAACAGCAGCAGCAACAGCAGCAACAGCAACAGCAACACCAGCAGCAGCAGCAGCAGCAACAGGGGCAGCAACAACTGTCCGCAAATGTAGCACAATTCTAAGTTTATTTATAGTAATCATATGGAAAGCTTTGCAGGCAATGGCCAATTGCCTGCTCTATGCTGCCCGCATAATTGCCAATGACAATGATGATGATGATGTTGTTGCTGCTGATGATGATGATGATGATGAGGGGAATGCGTATGTGAGTGCTGGCCATGACCATGACGTCAATACACAAATACAAACACATTTACGCAATACGCAAGCCGGCAACAAGCACGACAACATTGACGCTAATGACGAGGTGTCAACGGCACGTGAACGACAACAACGGCAACAACAGCAGCAACAACAACAACAACAGCAGCCACATTTATCTAGTTCTAGTCCACAAAAGAGCAGCCGCTGCACGACAACAGCAGCAGCTACAACAACAGCATATACAACAACAACATCTACAACAACAACAACAATGCGAGCCATGTTGCCGGCAGCAGCCGTGTCTGGACTGCCATTGATGACTTTGTTAATTGCATTGCTGCTGAGCATGCGCCTCGCATCGGGTAAGTCGCATCCGTCAGATACATTTCACACACTCTTCGATTCATTCAGCATGACCCAAAATTAAAATTATTGCCCCACTCACACGCAAGCCAAGAATATTTAAGTGGCGCCAGTTCGGTTAAACGAGTAGCGTTTTATGCCCTTTTACAGAGAGAATATTTTATTTTATCGCGAAGTACATTCCCAAAACGTGTATATGTATATATGAAACCGAGTCAATATAGACGAGTCCCTCAATTATAAAGTTCTTACAGGAATAATTATTGCAAACATATTGATGATATCTTGTTATCTCTTCATATCTTGAACAAATCCTTACCTATATCGCACTACAATATCAGTTGGCCCTATATTAAAAGTCGATCGAAAATTAGTTGTTTTTGTTCCACAAGGGTATTGTATCTTCGGCGGTTTGAAGATTCCCGTTTTTCTCTTGGTAGCATACATTTCGGAATCTCCGTATCTTTGCATATATATTTGCTTGTTGTGCGTTCATTCGCCTCGACATGTACGATAAATGTGACACATTATACCCAAATATGACGCAATTTTTCAGCACATTCTTATTTGCTTATCCCATGTGCTATATCAATCAAACCAAAACCAAAAAAAACTGATTTCAACCGCAAAAAAATAAATACAAAACAAATTTTCGGCTTCGCCTGCCATTTATTAGCAGCCTTTTTAGTTCCTATTTACTTATTTTTTTGCAGTTTGATCAGAGGAAAACAAATATTAAAAAAACAAATCGCAGATATTTCAGGCCGTGTGCTTGGGTGTCATTCTGTCCGCGTTTGCAAATAATATTTGCTCAATTTATCAGTGCAAAAACTGCGGACTGAGAGTTTTTGCAAGCAGCTAAAAGTAATAGAGTTGTTTAGCAAAAATTCCTTGTTTACAAATAACAAATGCGTTGCCATACAACTATGCAAAGACATTAACATGTAAAGGCCTTAATAAATCTTACAAAATAAATAATTACTGCTTTAAGCAAATGCATATCAATATTAGTTAATATGTATACAACTCAAGCTCAACTCACAAGCTGTTAACAGATGCTTTCAAGTCTAGATTGTTTATGAAATAAAACCAGATTAGTAGTAAAGAATTTAATCCACCTTTACCCTACCTAGACGAAAGTCAAGTTAAATTGAACGAAACGTTTTTCGACTGCCGTTCTATGCGATTCTCGTGAATTCAAGAAACGCTTGTAGACGCTTGTTGTGTTTGTTGTGACAACAATAAAATGAACAGTTTCTCTATTACACACACACTCTCTCTCTCTCTCGCTCTCGCTAAGCCTCTCGCTCTCGCTTACAGATGTTAATACCTTTTATAATGATATTCAAGAATAGTGATATTTTACAACGTTTTGTTCTTGTTCGTTTCGTTGCAGCTGGCACTTGCTGGCAGACACATCTGGACAGTGGGAAATGCAATCAAATATTTTCAACAAACATCACAAAATCGGATTGCTGTGGCGCCAGTCAGACCTTCTCCTACACGGATCGCGAGCTGAGCAGCGTTGAGCATTTCTTTGCAACAGCTATCGGAAATGGAGTTGAGTGTGCGCCGTGCCTAGGTGAGTATCAAAAACCTTGAATAACATATAGAAATGTGTGATGCCTGAGATGGCAGCAGATGCTATAAGCTTGTTCGAACTTTATTGCGAACTTTGCAGAGACCTGCAAGGGATTTAAATGTGGGCCAAACAAGAAGTGCGTGAAGCGCAAGGGCAGGCCCAAATGTGTCTGTGCGCCCGATTGTGGAGCAACGTTACGCCGAAAGCAGCAGCAGCAACAGCAGCAACAGCAGCAACATCGCAATGCACCAGAGCAACAACAACAGTGGGCGTCGTCGTTGTTGTTGTTGTCGCCGCGCGGTTCACGTAGTCTAAGTAGCGAAATTACAAACAGCAATTTAGGTTTAGATGGCGCTAAACGCCAGCATAAACATAGCGACAATAACAACAGCAACCGCGCTGATAACCAAAGAAAACAACAGCAGCAACAGCAACAAAGCCAAGAGAAGAGCATGCCAAAGCGAGCAAGTCATAGAACAGGAATGAGGCAGGGCGAGACGAGGCACAGAAGACTTTTGATTATAGACAGCAGCAATTTGCAAGAGCAGCCCACAACCAGACGACTGCACATGGAGGACAGCAGCAGCAGCAGCAGCAGCGGCAGCAGCGGCAAAGTGCAAATGCAGATGAAGGTAGAAATGGAGAGAATGACGCCGCCGTGGGGCAGCGAGCGGCGCAGACATAGAAAAAATAACAGCAGCAGCAGCAACAACAATGGCAAACACTTAACAAGATCAATGACGACGGCAACAGCAACAGCAACAGGAGCCAATGACTCGTCCACGACGCCTGCGCAGACGACGGCTCAGTCTAGACACAAGTTGGCAAATGCTAATGAACCCGCCAACGACATTAATAGACAGTCGCGGCAAGACAATGCGCCAGCACGAGGCAGACACCAACATCAACAGCAGCAGCAGCAGCAGCAACATGCTCCAAATCACGAGCAACAACAATACGACAATGGAACGCAGCAGCGCAGGCGTAAGCACAAGCACAACCACAAGGATCAGCGGCGCACAAATACCACAATGTCTGGCTCTGGCTCTGGTTTGGGCTCTGGCTCGGGCGGACGTCGTCGTTTGTATCTGGCTGAACACGGAAGTGAAACGGCTGCGTCATCGGGCAACAGTCACGGCCACTTGGCTAATGTCGATGATTTAGCATTTCTGGCTGGAATTTATGAAGCAGCGCCAGTGGTAAGTTGTCTCTGTGTAAAACCATTGCATACTCTTTGGGTGCATCTCTCTCTCTCTCTCCCTCTCTCTCCCTCTCTCTCTCTGTCTGCAATCAGTTGCAGCAGCAACACACGAATCCGGTTTGCGGCAACGATGGACGCACCTACAACACCGAATGCCAGCTGCGCAAACGCGCCTGCCGCACAAACAACGCCCAACTAGAGGTCGCCTATCGCGGCCACTGCAAGAGTGAGTACTATGAGTATTATTGCGAGTACTATGAGTATTAGTGTGATTCCTATGAGTATTAGTGTGAGTACTATGAGTATTAGTGTGCCTGTGTGAGTGTGTGCTCGCGTGCCAAAACGCAGCAGCGTCACAATTAGATTAGATGACAAATTATTGCACATTTCAATTACGGCCAACAACTTGTCGCCAGTGGGGAAATCAACCGAGGCCCAATGGCCAGACAGACGAGGCAAGCGAGCAAACGGACAGACGGATCGATCGAGCGGAGCCGCTCGCTTCTGTAATAATTTAATGATACAGGAAGCACTCGCAAACATGCTCAAATGATCAATAAAAACGTACAAGAACGATGGAGGACCCAACTGTATTGCGAGGCCACAAGAACTTGTTGGATTAGCCGCAAGCGGCAAGCGCGGCCTGTCGCCTCTTGTTGCCGTGGCAAGACATAAAACGGCAGTGGCAGCAGCAGCAGCAGCAGCAACATCTAACGTTGGCGCGTGCCGACATGGCAGCTCCAATTCCAACTCCAGCTTTTGTGGAATGTGCAATCGGGCAATCTGAAGATCTGGCCATGCAGATCTCTCGCTCTCGCCTTCCTCCCTCCTCCCTCTCTAGCCAACTCGCAATACTCACTCGTAATTTTGTGCAGGAAAATGAATGCAATTTTTAGCAAGTGTCACAGTTGGCGCCAAGGCGTTTCAACGGCCCATGCGCAAAATGATAAATTTGACAGTTTATAGCCAGCCATATAGAGTATATATATATACGTGTAATTATGTGTGTGTGTGTGTGTGTGCGCGCGCTTTTGGCGCTAATCATAGAAATTGGCAAACTGTTTATTTATAGCATAATCAGCATATAAACGCATATATAGCCACATATATTACAAAGTTGCATAGGCAAGGTAATTGCTAAATGTCTTCCTATATAATCATGAATTTTCAGGTATATATATATGAATTTAACAAGTTTGGCAGATTTATATATACATGTAGCTGCGGCCAATAAGCCGCCAATTGGTTGGCTTTCAAATACCTTTGGCATACTCTGAAGGCCAATCGGCTGGTAATCGTAGATGCTTTACATGATCGCAGTCGGGATAGATTTAGATTTTAGGGTTTCGCTTTATCCAAACACGTATCTCCAAGTATGAAAGAGTCGCTAGGTTTAAGGAAATTGAGTACATTTGGGATTTGTAGGTGCAATTGCATTCCTTGCAATATTATGTTGAGCTTTGACAAAGTTATGAGAGTTTCATGTTTATGATTTTAGAATTTTTTGTACCCCAAGATGTTGAACAACTTCAGAAGACTTTTATAATATGCTACACAGTATTTTTTCTCCATTTTATAAGTTAATCTCATTTCATTTGAAATCCCACACAGCGAGCTGCAATGGTGTTCAATGTCTGAACGGTCTGACCTGTGTGGAGGATCAGTATATGATGCCGCATTGTATAACATGCAAAATCGAATGTCCCTGGGATGATATGGCATACGATCTGAATGACGATGGGCAGCCGGATGAGGCGGCAACAATTGCTGAGGAGCGTGCGGTTTGCGGCATCGATGGCAACACATACAGGAGCACTTGTGATATAAATCGTATGATTTGCAAAATTGGACGATCAATTGCAGTGGCATATCCGGGACCGTGTCGTGGTATGTACAACTACAACTACAACTACAACTCATGCGTATAATTTTTATACTTTTTCATGATTGATAAGCTTTAAAACTCAATCAAATTAATTGAAAGTCGCAGCCAAGTGCAGGCACGCAAATTATTGCTAGCAATTGCAGTGGTTACTGTTGTTGTTGGGATGCTATTGCTGTTGCAGTTGCAGTTGCTGTTGCTGTTGCTGTTGCTGTTGTCGGCAACGATGGCGGCTGTGCAAATTTAACAACAATCAACGCAGAACCGCAATTTTGCATTTGATTGACTTGACTTGGCTGAGGTTTCAAGTCGACTCACAACCGCAAGTGGTTGTTGTTGTTGCTGCTGCTGCTGTTGTTGCTGTTGCCCCTGTCGTGTTGTCGCGCTGTCGTCTGCAACTGCCGTGCCATATCAAGTTGCGCTCGGTGTTTGTTGGCTGAAATTGCTACATTTGCTTATACGGCTCCATGATTGCCAGCAATTTGATTAGCCAGTTGCTGTTGCTGTTGCTGTTGCTGTTGCAGTTGTTGTTGCTGTTGCTGTTGCTGTCAGCATTGCTCTACTTTGACTGTCGCGCATCCACAACGACATCTCTCTCGCTCGGCATAATTCATGCTTATTAATTTTGTGGTTAGATTTGCGATTGATCGACTCCGATTTCCAATTAATTACATGCAAACAGCTGCCGCTGAACGCCTACAATGGGATGTATCTGCTGCTGAGATGCACCAACAACAACAACAACAGCAGCAGCAGCGGCAGCAGTCGCCGTTGCCGCCTTGGTGTCAGTCGCCGCACCAATTAAAGGCGTGGCGGGTGTTGCATTCTCGCGCGCCATATCTGAACAACAGACAGGCATACAGACAGACGGACAGACTGCCCAAACTGGTTTAGTGTGTCAGAGGCGGCTGCCCGGCTGCAATTGCGTGCTAATTGCAGTGTTTTGTTGCAAATTACAGCTTGTAATTAATGTTGAAGAAAATACAAATTATAACTACAACTAAAACAAAAGGCAAACCAACTAAAATCTCAAGTCCAAGTCCGAACAGCTGCTCACGAAAAAGCCTCAACAATTATAAATTATTTTAATTTTTAATTTGATTTATAATAATTTTAAATGAAAATTAGGTACAAATCGTAGAAGTAAAATTAAAAAACTTTCAACCAATTCTTACCATAGCTCTCTTAATATTTTTATTGCGCTTAGGGCATAAGTGTTTCTCGAATTTATGAATATACTAGCAGATACATAGCCCGGCCTTGACCATGGCACATTTCAAATAAATTATCTTAAAGATCTTTACAAATGAGTTTGAAGACGATCAAACGGTTGGCCAATTAACCATTTAGATGCTGATCTAGAGCCCAAAGCCTGCACAAAAAGGCAAGCCTCATGAAAATCTGATGAGTTTTCACCAAGTTATGGGAGTGGGAAATGTCGACCTATGTCAATAGGTCAATATAAGGGGTAAGATTTTGACATGAATTTCGACCAAAAATTTTGTATTCAGATTTGGATGCCAGATTAATCTAGAGGGAAAACTGAATACAAAAAGGCAAGCCTCATGAAAATCTGATGAGTTTTGACCTGGTTATGGGGGTGGGAAATTTCGAACTATGTCTATATACGAATATAAGGGGTAAGATTTTGACATGAATTTCGACCAAAAATGTTGTGTTCAGATTTGGATGCCAGATTAATCTAGCGGGAAAACTGAATACAAAAAGTCAAGCCTCATGAAAATCTGATGAGTTTTGACCTGGTTATGGGGGTGGGAAATTTCGAACTATGTCTATATACGAATATAAGGGGTAAGATTTTGACATGAATTTCGACCAAAAATTTTGTATTCAGATTTGGATGCCAGATTAATCTAGAGGGAAAACTGAATACAAAAAGGCAAGCCTCATGAAAATCTGATGAGTTTTGACCTGGTTATGGGGGTGGGAAATTTCGAACTATGTCTATATACGAATATAAGGGGTAAGATTTTGACATGAATTTCGACCAAAAATTATGTATTCAGATTTGGATGCCAGATTAATCTAGAGGGAAAACTGAATACAAAAAGGCAAGCCTCATGAAAATCTGATGAGTTTTCACCGAGTTATGGGAGTGGGAAATTTCGACCTATGTCTATATACCAATATAAGGGGTAAGATTTTGACATGAATTTCGACCAAAAATTTTGTATTCAGATTTGGATGCCAGATTAATCTAGAGGGAAAACTGAATACAAAAAGGCAAGCCTCATGAAAATCTGATGAGTTTTGACCTGGTTATGGGGGTGGGAAATTTCGAACTATGTCTATATACGAATATAAGGGGTAAGATTTTGACATGAATTTCGACCAAAAATGTTGTGTTCAGATTTGGATGCCAGATTAATCTAGCGGGAAAACTGAATACAAAAAGTCAAGCCTCATGAAAATCTGATGAGTTTTGACCTGGTTATGGGGGTGGGAAATTTCGAACTATGTCTATATACGAATATAAGGGGTAAGATTTTGACATGAATTTCGACCAAAAATTTTGTATTCAGATTTGGATGCCAGATTAATCTAGAGGGAAAACTGAATACAAAAAGGCAAGCCTCATGAAAATCTGATGAGTTTTGACCTGGTTATGGGGGTGGGAAATTTCGAACTATGTCTATATACGAATATAAGGGGTAAGATTTTGACATGAATTTCGACCAAAAATTATGTATTCAGATTTGGATGCCAGATTAATCTAGAGGGAAAACTGAATACAAAAAGGCAAGCCTCATGAAAATCTGATGAGTTTTCACCGAGTTATGGGAGTGGGAAATTTCGACCTATGTCTATATACCAATATAAGGGGTAAGATTTTGACATGAATTTCGACCAAAAATTTTGTGTTCAGATTTGGATGCCAGATTAATCTAGCGGGAAAACTGAATACAAAAAGTCAAGCCTCATGAAAATCTGATGAGTTTTGACCTGGTTATGGGGGTGGGAAATTTCGAACTATGTCTATATACGAATATAAGGGGTAAGATTTTGACATGAATTTCGACCAAAAATTTTGTGTTCAGATTTGGATGCCAGATTAATCTAGAGGGAAAACTGAATACAAAAAGGCAAGCCTCATGAAAATCTGATGGGTTTTCACCGAGTTATGGGAGTGAGAAATTTCGACCTATGTCTATATACGAATATAAGGGGTAAGATTTTGACATGAATTTCGACCAAAAATTTTGTGTTCAGATTTGGATGCCAGATTAATCTAGCGGGAAAACTGAATACAAAAAGGCAAGCCTCATGAAAATCTGATGAGTTTTGACCGAGTTATGGGAGTGGGAAATTTCGAACTATGTCTATATACCAATATAAGGGGTAAGATTTTGTCATGAATTTCGACCAAAAATTTTGTGTTCAGATTTGGATGCCAGATTAATCTAGAGGGAAAACGGAATACAAAAAGGCAAGCCTCATGAAAATCTGATGAGTTTTCACCGAGTTATGGGAGTGAGAAATTTCGACCTATGTCTATATACGAATATAAGGGGTAAGATTTTGACATGAATTTCGACCAAAAATTTTGTGTTCAGATTTGGATGCCAGATTAATCTAGAGGGAAAACTGAATACAAAAAGGCAAGCCTCATGAAAATCTGATGAGTTTTGACCTGGTTATGGGGGTGGGAAATTTCGAACTATGTCTATATACGAATATAAGGGGTAAGATTTTGACATGAATTTCGACCAAAAATTTTGTGTTCAGATTTGGATGCCAGATTAATCTAGAGGGAAAACTGAATACAAAAAGGCAAGCCTCATGAAAATCTGATGAGTTTTCACCGAGTTATGGGAGTCAGAAATTTCGACGTATGTCTATATACGAATATAAGGGGTAAGATTTTGACATGAATTTCGACCAAAAATTTTGTATTCAGATTTGGATGCCAGATTAATCTAGAGCGAAAACTGAATACAAAAAGGCAAGCCTCATGAAAATCTGATGAGTTTTGACCGAGTTATGGGAGTGGGAAATTTCGAACTATGTATGTCTATGTACGAATATAAGGGATACCATTTTAACATGAATTTCGACCAAAAATTTTGTGTTCAGATTTGGATGCCAGATTAATCTAGAGGGAAAACTGAATACAAAAAGCCAAGATTCATGAAAATCTGATGAGTTTTTACCGAGTTATGGGAGTGGGAAATTTCGACCTATGTCTATATACCAATATAAGGGGTAAGATTTTGACATGAATTTCGACCAAAAATTTTGTATTCAGATTTGGATGCCAGATTAATCTAGAGGGAAAACTGAATACAAAAAGGCAAGCCTCATGAAAATCTGATGAGTTTTGACCTGGTTATGGGGGTGGGAAATTTCGAACTATGTCTATATACGAATATAAGGGGTAAGATTTTGACATGAATTTCGACCAAAAATTATGTATTCAGATTTGGATGCCAGATTAATCTAGAGGGAAAACTGAATACAAAAAGGCAAGCCTCATGAAAATCTGATGAGTTTTCACCGAGTTATGGGAGTGAGAAATTTCGACCTATGTCTATATACGAATATAAGGGGTAAGATTTTGACATGAATTTCGACCAAAAATTTTGTGTTCAGATTTGGATGCCAGATTAATCTAGAGGGAAAACTGAATACAAAAAGGCAAGCCTCATGAAAATCTGATGAGTTTTGACCGAGTTATGGGAGTGGGAAATTTCGAACTATGTCTATATACCAATATAAGGGGTAAGATTTTGACATGAATTTCGACCAAAAATTTTGTGTTCAGATTTGGATGCCAGATTAATCTAGAGGGAAAACTGAATACAAAAAGGCAAGCCTCATGAAAATCTGATGAGTTTTCACCGAGTTATGGGAGTGAGAAATTTCGACCTATGTCTATATACGAATATAAGGGGTAAGATTTTGACATGAATTTCGACCAAAAATTTTGTATTCAGATTTGGATGCCAGATTAATCTAGAGCGAAAACTGAATACAAAAAGGCAAG